ATTATTAGAATGCCTAGCTTGAGAAAGATTTGGTATGAAATTGAGGCTCCCGCAACATGGGAACTTGTGTGGCAATTAATAAAAGGAGCTTTTTTTATTATTATTCTGAGCGCTTCACTGCTTTTATGGGAAAATAATGCAGGGTTTTTTCATCGAGTGAGGAGGAGAATATGGCTAGCAAGTAGGAATGATGATTCCGTTTAGAAGCGAAATATATTATTATAGCATGCATTTGAAATTTAGACAAAGTATGTTGAATGTACATACACAGTCATAGGAGATGATTTACATTTTTTTACATTAGTTCATGAGAGAGAGTGATCCTCTAGAGCTGAGGAGATAGGTTTTGAGAAATATGCTGAATAATAGAAAACTGGAAGAATATTGGCTGTTCATGTTTTGTAATACAATCTCCATTGTTTAAACCTCATTATGTTTGAGTTGCTTTATGTAAAACAATAGTGACAGGGTTTTTTGGGTTTTTTTTGCACAACAACTGGTATACAACAGAAGTTTCCATAATAGGAGGCTCATCTAACTTTAGTTTTACATTGATTGGAAAAGGCCAAAGTTGCTCTAAATATAGAATAGTATTTGTAGTATTTGACTGTAGTTTTAGTATTTTTAAAATATACTTACGATTTTAGTGTTTTGAATTTTTTTATTCTAATGTTTTCTGGTAGAATGTGCAGTATAGAAATAAATTTTAAGCATGAGTATGGTTGGAGTGTTGCCACCATCATTAATCTTAAAAGACTGAGGTCTCTTCTCCAAATCCCTAGAAAACATTACTTAGGAAGAATTTGTGTGTAGACAACAAAGATTTTAATTTATTTTCTAATTGTATGTGTAAGTGTAAAAGGCAATATATGTAGCTCAGGATTAAACTGGAGTCTCTGGTGCTCTCTGAACTCAGAATTAATTCCAAATGAAAATGGGGAAACAGGAATGGGCTTCTAGCCAGAGAAAGTCTACAGCCTTGAAGCAAAATTAAAGATTTAGAGAGGAAAGAAGATATTTTTTAAAAGAAAATTGAGGAAATGTGGCACCATGTATGTGTTTATGATGAGTTCTGAAATCAAGTACTAGTAATTGAGGGCTTTATGAAAGTGTAAAATATCTTGTTGGGGAAGGAGAAAATTTAGCAGAAGCTCTCCTTGTGTTCTCCTTTCTTTCAAAATAAGTGTAGGCATCATTATTCTGTTGTTATCATTATGTTAGTATTTGTATGTAGAGGTAGAGAGATAAGTTTCCCTCTAAAAACAGAGGGAAAGAAGGTCAGGATATAAGGTAATCAAGTTGCCTAAATTGTATTTTAGATGACACACAAGAACTGGAAATCACTGGAATTTATGGATGCAACTGTCCTTTTTGAGCATGCACAGATAAATAAATGTAATAGGAATTATGAGGGGTAGAACGGAGAAATCCCCTACCCCCACCTCCAGAGGAGAAAATAACAGCTTGGGGAGAGGATTATCATGTACGGTGGGGGGGGGGAAGCTAAAACACATTTTGCTCTTTGCTGCTACTCTATTTTTATGGCTGATTTGTGCTTTACAAATATTTTGGAAGATTGATCATGTATCTTTCTTGCAAGAGAAATTGCTTGTATTCTAAGAGGATAAAGGTTTTGTATTAGTCTGTTAATTAAATAGTTTCAAAGACATATCTAGAATCTTTATATTTTATTCCAGAATATTAAAGTATAAATTATATTCGTTCCTGAACAGTTGCTATGTAAGTATTTCATGTGCTTTAATAGTAATATCTCCATTTAGGATATATTGTATTTTTGATTTTAACCTATTCCTAGCTATAAATTTCTTGTTTTTCTTCCCTTTTCTTCCCTTTGTTAAGATTCTCCTAATGGATGAATATTTGTGAAATACTAGAAATTAATTATGCTGATGTCTTAAACTTACTTGTCTTGATTAAGTATTGTGGTTGGAACATTGGAATTCACAATGGCCTTTATGGCCCGGTGGGCCAGTTGCATCATACAGAGGCTGTGCTAACCCCAGCTGCAGCAATGCAAAAAAAATATCACGATATGTTGCGACACGTCACGTGACGTGGTGTGTTTGACACCCGTGTTTTAAAAGAACAATTGTCATTCTTGTTAGACAGTTTTTCTGCCCAATAAACTCAAAAGCGTTGCTTCTGATACTGGGAATATTAGAATTCTTTTGCATAAAGCTATATCCAACTAATCTCTCAGTCTAGTTTGAAATTGGCATGCTTTGGATGTGAGAATAGGTGCATTTGTGTGATTCAGGTTCAAATGGAAAGAAATATGATCCTTTATTTCTATAAAAATAGAAAATTTCAAAAGTAGATTTTGTATTAAATCACAGTTTTATGTTGGATTATATCATTGGATCATTTTAAAACAAAATGATCTAAAGCCAACTATTTTGGTATGATATTTAGTTATACATTTTACACTGTCATTTTGAAAGAATACCGTTTGAAATGTCAGAAATTTTATGTAATTCTTTATATTTACCTCAGAATAAAAAGCCATATTAGTTTTGCAACTAAATTAACTGGAAACTGAGATATGAAATAGTTACCTTTATTCAAATTTCAAATTTACTTATTTCAAATTTAGCTATGGAAGCTCCAAAGAAAAATTTCATCTTGGGACATCAATCAAAAGGGACTGTTGCACAGGAAGATGGTAGCCCTCCATCAAAAAAAGTCATGACAGAAATCCATGTAAAAGATAAAATACACACAATGGTAATAAATAAGTTGCCAGTAATTAAGAAGGAACATTTGGATGAATGTGAAGAAAGTCTTATGGATGACAGAGAAGAAGATGTCAAACCAAATATTGCTGCAGCATCAGAGCCTTTGAACTTAAATCCTGGTTTGAAACATACATTGGCACAATTCCATTTAAGCAGTCAGAGTTCACTTGGTGGACCAGCAGCATTTTCTGCTCGCCATTCACAAGAAAACATGTCATCTGTTTTTGTACCTCTTCCATCACCTCAGATTCTTCCTGGCCCATTGCTTGTCCCATCAGATAGTTCTACAGAGTTGACTCAGACTTTACTGGAAGGGGAGTCTATATCTTGTTTTAAAGTTGGAGGAGAAAAGAGGCTTTGTTTGCCTCAAGTTTTGAATTCTGTCCTCAGAGACTTTTCTCTACAGCAAATTAACACAGTGTGCGATGAACTTTACATCTATTGTTCTAGATGCAGTTCTGATCAGCTTCACATCTTAAAAGTTTTGGGGATTCTGCCCTTTAACGCTCCTTCTTGTGGACTTATCACTTTGACCGATGCTCAAAGATTATGCAATGCATTGTTGCGCCCTCGTACTTTTCCTCAAAATGGCAGCCTGCTTCATACTAAAAGTTCACTGCCCCAACTAAAGGAGACTGGAAGTGCCTTTGAAGTAGAACATGAATGCTTGGGCAAGTGTCAGGGTTTGTTTGCTCCACAGTTTTATCTTCAGCCAGATTCCCCATGTATCCAGTGTTCAGAATGCTATGGGATGTTTTCACCCCAAACTTTTGTGATGCATTCCCATCGATCTCCAGACAAGAGGACTTGTCACTGGGGCTTTGAGTCAGCAAAGTGGCACTGTTACCTTCACATTAACCAAAAATATTTAGGAACATCTGAAGAAAGAAATGTGAAGCAACTCTTAGAACAAATGAAAGAAAAATTTAGCACAAAGAATAAAAAAATACCCCAGTCTAAGGTAAGTCTGTTTATAAAATATAATATTTGAATAGATTGGTTATAAAGATTGCTTTTACATGCATTAAGTGTATACTTTATAGAGTTGTTTCTTTATATTTTTCAAAAAATGTGAGCACAAAATATGATAGCCAACACTGGGAAAGTAATATGCTCAAAATACTGTACTTGAATAGTTATTTCTGATGTATGTCTATGACAAGACATAGAATTTTGTTGTAAAAATGTCTTAAGTGATTTTGCTTCATGTATAAAACCCGAATGCCTAAAATAATCACAAATTGTGCATTGACAAAAGTAAAGGTGGAGCTCAGTTTGGATGTGCAGCAGTATGTGAAAAAAGGACACTCAGGAGTGTTACTCTAAAAAAAAAAATACTCAGAAGATTTTCAAATACTGTACTTACTTAGAGCCATGGCTAAATGGTATCCGACATGGAAGAATACCATTGATTAGATAGGTTCCATCAAGTCTGGTTTGACTTCTGATAATTGCATAGTTTGATAATAACCATTTTGATCTGTCTGCAGTAGTATGACATAGCTGTTTTATGGCCAATCCTGTAATCTTCTTGATTCTGTCTATCTACTTTTTTAGTTCTTTTGTACTCCATCATCCATCTGCAGGATTAGAGTGAGTTTTTGCTGATTGATGCTGCCTTAAAGGAGCAATCAATTTGATCCAGGATTGGCTAATTTATTTTTCTTGTGATCCATGTTATTATTAATGAGCATCTCCAGAGCCATAATTCAGAGGAATCTATCTTGTTCGGTTTCAATTCCCAGCTTTCACAGCTGTACATTATTACTGGAGAGACCATTGCTTTCACTATAGTGATACCAGAAAGACCAGTGCTTTTACTATAATGGTTTTGTTGTAGAAATATACTTATTCTTCAATATCTTGTTTATGCTTATAATTGTGTCCCTCCCTACAATTAATTCCTTCTGTATTTCAGTCCAGTTCTATAAATTATTGATCCTCTCTCCCTAATTCACCCCTTCCCCCTTATTTCTTGATTGTCAGTTGTAAGTTCACTAAGCACACTGGTTAACATTACCTTTTAATATTTAACATTAACCCAAGTTTCCACTTTCTGGTTTACTTACATAATGAGCTTTTCTAACATTAAGCTACAAAGTGGTGATTTCTGCCTATGTTTTGACCTCACGTTTTGAGCCTGTAATTTCTTCCAATCCTGCCATTCTTATATTCACTGAAAACATTTAATTGACTTGCAGCTAATGCCCGTCCTTGACTCTGTTTCTGTTCTGAAATATTTCTTAATTCTCATTCTTTTGTTATTTTCATGTATAGTTTTATATGCTTTAATTGAGATATCCGGTCCAAACTTTAGGTTTCTCCATTTCTTGTATACTGCATTCCAGCCATCCATTGTAGCAGTATGTATTTTCTTGAAGTTGCATTTAGTATCTTTTGCAATTTCTCATAGAATTTTTCAGTGTCTTCCACCATTGCAGTTACAAGTTCAAATATTGTGTAACATTGATATTCACTAATTCACTAATATTCACTATTTACATGTTTTGTATGGTCTGACATAAATATATAATTATCTGGTTTAAAGTGGCTCATTCAATCTATCTAAATTCCACTTACGGTATTTATAAATTATCTAATTATCATGCTTTATTTCGCGTTGACATTTTCAGTTTTCCTTGCTTCCTTGCTTTCATATTCCATGTGCCAATTATGTGCACTTTGAGAAACTCTTCTGCTGATACTGGCACATTCTTTTCAGCTTTGACTTGGCCATTTTATCTTCAGACCTAATTGTGAAAACAGAGTATTCTCTCCTAGTAATTTGAGAACTTGAACTTCAGACCTTGGGATTTCTCATCTCACATTCAAACTTGTCTAAATTGTTGATCTGTATACATATGGTTTTCTTTGCAATAATACAGAAATAGTTTGCCATTTAAAATATAGATATATGTTTTATAATTGACCATAAACAAATAACCAGGCCTTGATAGCCTCCACTTAAGTGTTACTAAGTGTTTTAAAGCTTAGATTGTAGACTGTCTAACTAAAATACACAACCTGTCACTACATTCTACTATGGAGAACTAGCTTGAAATGCACAGGGAAATATGAGATAAATATCTGTTTAATGTGGAATTTGTTAGAAACAAGGAACAATTAATTACCATGAGCCGTGGTGGCACAGTGGTTAGAATGTAGTATTGCAGGCTAATTCTGCCGACTGCCAGCAGTTCGATTCTCAGCGGCTCAAGTTTGACTCAGCCTTCCATCCTTTCAAGGTCGGTAAAATGAAGACCATAATTGTTGGGGCAATATGCTGACTGAGTAAAGCACTGTGAAGTGATATATAAGTCTAAGTGCTATTGCTATAAGAGGTATAGGAGACTATGAGTTCTAATTCGGGCTTAGGCACACCGCTGGCTGAGTGAGCTTGCACTAGTCCCTCCCTCTGAGCCCTAGGAAGGAGACCGTGCAAATCACTTCTGAAATCTTGCCAAGAAAACTACAGGGTCTTGTTCAGGCAGTCACAAGTGCCAGCAATGACTTCAAGGAAACCCCTCCCCTCAATCTCCCCAAATCCTTCCCCCATTATTAGAACTGTTAAAGCCTATATTCTGGGCAGCAGTTAACATATTTTTTGCATATCAAAAAACAAAACAACAGGATCGATCCTGAGCTAAATCACAGTAGCTGTCAAGGATTCTTTAAAACAGTAGGGACATTTCTTAGGTCTTTCATGAAGAGCATCTGTTTGGTCAGATACATATAGAATGCTAAACCACATCATTTTTCTTTTTATCGTTTACATGTACAAATCAAGCTATTATTCAACAAGCATGTTTGTAAACCTAGCCATTTTATATTCCTGATCCCTGAACAATTCAAAATCTTTCTGGCATATGCCAAAAGATATGTTGTAGAAAAATCATCTATGTTTTTTTTTCATAGGCAGGAAGGAAATTGAAAATTCATAGCTGGAAAATGCCCAGATCATGCCTCAGCTTTTTCACTTAGAACATTAAGGTTTTTGAGAAGGAGAATTTGCTCCAGAGGATTCCATTTTCAGTAACGTTGATTTCCCAGATATAGAATCAAATTCATTCCATGAAAAGAAGGTCTAGTTTGCTTCTTGTTTGCCTGCACATTGGAATGTTAAAGTAAAAATAAATAACTAAAGCAGAAAGAAGTAGAGTTCACTTAAGGCTATACAGAATATGCTGACTGGCAATAATATGTTTTAAATTAGTCTTGGACAGATCAGTTATTAAGAGATTATTTGATTAGTTGTATGTAAATAGGATACAGCTCAGCTTATGGAATCTGAAACTACATTTGTAAGCTTAACATGATTTATATGCTCCTTAATGATGCAGCCAATTGACTTGTTTTGCATTCAGTTGCAGTACTATAGTTGCCTAAGGTAATTACCTTTCATAATAGTGTATACTAAAAAATATTATTGCATAAATTAAAGTCCTTACATCCTACATTATAAATGACTTCCACTTGTTGCAGTCTTATAGATATATGATCTCTATGTATTATCAAACTATTGTGCTGAATGCATATATATATATATATCTATATGAATAAATACATATGAACTGTTTGGAGCTTTCAAAATACAGATTCAAGAAATGATTTTTAGAGAAAAGAACATTTTAATAAAAACAAAGAAACATGAGATATTGATTCAATGATTTAATATTTAATATAATAATATTAATATTATTAAATATTACTAGACTCTATGAGTTTCTTTTGTTTTGAGTTTCTTCCGGCCAATGATTTTTTCTTGCCTCGCAGAATGAATATACATACATACATAAAAATATGTAAATATATAAATCTTTTTTGGGGGCCATGTTTCTCCTCTCTTAAATTGTGGAAGAGATGATCTCTAGTTTTGATTTAAATTCCTTCTTAGGCTCATTATAAGACAATTGCTTGTGTACATTAAAAATACAGATTGTCCTTGCTTAATGACCATTCATTGTGTGGCACTTCAAAGCTATGGTGCTAAACAAGGATTTATGACTGGTCCTCTAAGGTGTAGTGGGCATTTGGCAATTGGATCACATTTAAGATGGCTGCATCATTCCTCAGTCATGTGATCATCATTTGCAACCTTCCCTGCAGCCTCTCAGAAGAAAGACAGGCAGCAAGCTGGCACGAAGGATTGCAAATCACTCTTGTCAGTCCCTCCTCCAGATGCTTTTTGTCAGTGGCAGGGTGTGTGTGTGGGCCCTAACACTTGCCTATCCTTGGACCGCACTGCAGAACCCACTCATGCTGTAGCACTTCTCCTGCACTAGCATCACAGTGCCCACCTATGCACCCCCGTTGCACTCATTTAATGCCCACTTCCCTGCTGCACTTGTGCCACAATGCCCATCCTGCCTCCCTACACTCCATAGTTAGTGCCAGCTGACTGTTCTGCTTCCAAGTCACCTAAGGAAAAGCTTGTGATTGGGACTTGTTAACTTCCTGCTGCTTCCCCATTGACTTTGCTTGTTAGAATTTGGTAGGAAGTTGCAAGTCTCAGTCACCTGAGATCTCACTTAATAACCCACAGTCCTTTTTTGGCAACAGAGACTGCTAGGATTGGTATCACTATGTGACACAGTCATGTGATGCTACACTTTACAACTGCACCGTTTAGCCAGGGAAATTCTGGTTCCTATAACTGTCATTAAATGAGGACTACATGGAGGGAATTGAGGCCACAGTGAGTAGAGCCATTGTATAACACTTACACATTCACTCATGGTCTAAGGCAAGACATACATTTCAGCCATAATTTCAAACACATTTTTTAGTTAATTTACTTAGCCTCCTTTGTAAAACAAATGTAATCAGAATGTAAAGTAATTGCATATGTTGTTTCTTTTAGTCTAACTGCAGAACTGTAGCTCTTGCCCCCCAAATTAAAGTGGATTTAGAAATAGAATGCAAAATACGCAAGGTTTTTTAAAAATAAAAACCTTCAATTGTTCCTATTATATATGCACTAACAGAAAGTGCAGAAACACTTTGCTGCTTCAGCAGTGCTTCTAACACTTCTGATTTGTGAACAGCAAAGTAACAAGTGTTAAAATGCAGAGTACAGGGGAATCTTCACATTTTGAACAGAAAAGGAAAAACTAACTGGGTTATGATGTGGGGAGGGATACCCTTCTACTAGTATGAAGTATCCTAATTCTGAAGAATTGTTGAAAAAGCATGAATGGAAGAATCAGAGCCATTCAAAAATAAAATACATTTTAAATTATATAATATTCTATTCATGGGAATATTTTATTCATGTGCAAAAAAGCTTCTTTGGACATAAATAAAAGTATTCACTAAATTATAATTCTTAAAATCAAAGTCTAGTTATCATGGTCATTAACTTTATTGTCAGCCGTTCTGATTATTACTTTTAATTTTATTTACTACTTTTAATCTGTTTCAAAGTGAAATTTGATAATGATAATAAATAGAAACAGAATCTGTAAATAGAAATAGATGACTGTGGCAAAAGAAAGCAAAGATAGTACCAATAGTAATAGGCATCTTGAGTGCACCATTTAACATGATCAGCATTGACAAAATCACCATCAGTCAATTGCAAAAGGCAGCTTTGCTCCGAACAGCTTACATCCAGCGATACATACCTTTAAGACCATCAAATATCCAGATTCTTTGGGAAGGACTCGATAAGTGGAGAAAGGGCCAAATCTAGCCTGAACATCTGACTGACCGTGCGACAAACCAAAATAATAATATTTGCCTATCCCAGGTACCTGGGAAGGATTCGATAGATAGATAAAAATGCCAAATCCAGTCTAAACTTCTGGCTGACTATGCAAACAGCCACAATAATAATCATATGATAAGCAGGGATACAAAACGAACAATTTGTTCTTGTACTATACCCACTAGAACAGGTTGGCCTTCAAAGGTTTATCTGGTTGCCTTAGGTAGCAGAAATGTAATAGCATAATGACATAAAGTTAAGCAGGTGGCTTGAGAGAAAGGTGGAACAATCTGTATTCTCTAACAGGTTTGCTAGGTTTTTTGTGGTGGTCCTACAAAAACTTATTTTCCCTCCTTCAGTTTGGAAATGTAGATGTATTGCTTTTAGTAGATGCATAAAAATAAAAACTATAAGACTACAAGAAAACACTGATTAAAAAATCTTTTTGAAAGGATAAGGCTATATGAATTAATTAATGAATTAATGAATGTGTAAGAGTTCCTGGATCTATTAAATATCTATTTATTTAAAGCAGCTGCCTGTCTTATAACAAACTCAACAACATAAAAACCATATTAAAACTATAAAAACTGAATGAATGAAAAACAAAAGCTGGCAGCAAGTCAAGTTTCCCATATGCAGTCAATCTTGCCTAATATTAGATTGGTCACCCAGCGAGTGTGCTTTTATTGCTTCATGTTGGTTTCCTTGAATTCTTGCTTTTCATTTCTTCCGTGTAAACTTTGATAGGCATGAATAGATTTGTGTTCACAGTGTACTTTATTCATGCTTACAATTTTCTTAGATGTTGAGTGAATTGCCTGACAAAGTCACAATTTCATTTCTTAAATAGGCAGTATTAAATCAAATTAATATTAATTGACCATTTTATTGATCAATAATTAATTGATATTAAATTATCAAAATACTGCACAATATTTCTTTTGACTGAAAGGGAAACATAAAACATAGCTTACAATCTTTATTAAAGCTGCTTATGATTTTATTTACGGTATAGTTGAGTAGGAAAAATGGAAATGATGCTGATTTATATTTGTGATTTATTTTTTTTTATAACAAAATTGATAAAAATTGCAGTTACAATTTGCTCTAAAACTAGAATGGTATATAACAAATGTAAATATTTTCTCCCTCCTTAGGCAGATTCCCATTATAATGTAGAATTTCAGCAGTGGTATCCGGTTATAAAGCAAGAAACAGATTCTACAGATCAACCACATTCATTTATACACCCCAGGTAAAATTCTTCCGTTAATAAAAATGATCAGAGAATCTTATTTTAATTATTTCATAAATACAATTGCATGGCTTACATAATTTAAATGGATATTTTACATAATTTAATTACACTTTCTGGGTTTGTATGGAGAATATACTATGTCTTTTACAAACTGTTGGATCTACATAAAAAAAATCTAGAGCAATGATAGATGTAACTTTTGCACAGAAGATTCTCTTCTTAATTCCATTCTTTGAAATAACTGTTACCAGTATCTTTGCTAAGAACTTATTTCCACTCAAACCCTTAAACTTTCCCCTGGAGGCTTTTAGTGTTTCCCATCCTTTGATGCTGCTTAGCACTTGCAACATCTACTTTATTAGCATGATAAAGACCACATTGTTTTATTCCAGATATAAAATATGGTGGATCCTGGAATTTCCATTTGTATATACAGCATCCTCGGGGTCTCTAATCAGCTGATCTTTGAAGTTCTGCACTTAATCTGATTTACATTTCTGTGAATCAAAGTTAAATACCTCCCATTTGTTCTGGAAATTAACTGCATAAAACATTGAATCCCAATTTGCTCCATTTTTGGGACCTCCTCTATGATAGAACTTACATTATTAGTATGAAATGGGTGTCAGTGTTATATCATCAAAACTTTGTGAGTAGGAAACAGAGTCTTCAAGTAGCCTGGGATAATTTATGTGACAATCAATTAGTAGCTTATTAATAATAGCTTTGTATTAGTTGTTTTTCATTCTAGTTATTGTTGCATTGAAAAAGAATAGCAAGTTCAGCCCATGTTCAAAAGTTGTTTTAAAAATAAAAAACAAAAATGCTGGCTACTTTAGAAGTGCTCTAGAACTCTAGAGCACATGGCTTATCAGTGTCAGAATTATTTTGACCACATGAAGAGTTAACTTGCTATGCAGTTTATTGAAACCATTTGAAGCTCTAGTGTGCTGATGACATGTCTGTACAGTGCTGATGTAGCAGTTAAAGTCTCATTTGAATTGTTCCTCAGCTAATTTCCACAAATATATTCACAAAGTGCCAGTATTTCTGCTTGTTTTGAATGAGGTTTTCTTTTAAGAAAGCAATAGAAAATTTGCATTAAATATTAAAGCAGCGACAGCATGTTCAGTAACAGAATCCTGGAAGATGTTTTCATTAGTTATCTATATGAAAGAGCTGAGTGAGGTCATCTAACCATTTAGGATAAAATATTGTGTGTAAGGTGATGGTGCTCAGTTATACATTCCCATCCCATGTTGAGTAAGACTTACAGCAGAAGTCCTGACCGGGTGGCTAGAGATTTTGAGGAAACAGTTGGAACGAACATGGTCAAATTAAATCTTAACAAGATACAGTGGCTGCTTATCTGAAAAACATTCTAACTCCACAGTGGCTGCACAATTGGCTTTTCCTGGAGTTGCACTTTGTTAAAAGCAGAGGCTCTGTGATCTACGGGTTCATTTGCCATTATATGGCTCCTGTATGAACAAAACAGATGGTGGACCTTGCTTAGCTTTGGCGTCAGATATGATTGTTTTTGGCACAAGATGCTTTGGTGCCTGTGAGGAGTCCTCATTACTTCATATTTGGATTATGTATTGTGCTCTACTTGGGGCTCCCTCTGAATACTGGTTGTAACCTACAATCTTTGCAGTGCCCCACCTGCTGCACCAGCTCACAGGTTTCTGAATATACCGTAATTCAAAGTACTGGTAATGACCTTTGTGACTTGGGTCTTCATCTTCTTCAGGACAGTCTTTGTCTTCTTAATTTGAAAGGGCGTGCTTCTCATGTTCTTTCCTCAGGAAGTTGGAGATGAGGATCTGAAAGAAGACTTTCTTTATGATGCCTGTTAGCTTTTTGAAAAGAGATCAGGACAATTCTCTTCCTCTAGGCCAGGGGTAGGCAACCGTGGCTCTTTTATGACGCATGGACTTCAATTCCCAGAAAAAGGGAATTGAAGCTGGCTCGGGAATTCTGGGAGTTGAAGTCCATGCGTCATAAAAGAGCCAAGGTTGCCTACCCCTGCTCTAGGCCTTTAAAATTTTGAGTATCTTTATTTATTTTATTTATTTTATTTAATTTATATGCCGCCCTTCTCCCGACAGGGACTCAGGGCGGCGCACAACATATTTAAAACCAGAACATATATACAATCCCCCCCTTAAAACCGAATTAAACCGAATTTTAATGTTGCGTCTTCCGAATATTTAAAACCCAATGTAAAATCCACCCTAGGTCAGGTCCGCTTGCT